CATTACCTAATGCTGATTCATGTTTGGGATTGTGTTTATGTAATCCTGAGGACATGGGTAGTATGACATGCTTGGCTCTTCCTGCATCCTCTCTCTTTCTCCCTTCCCATCCCGTTTTCTACACTCGTTCCTCCTGGCTGCCTAATCGGAAGTTCAGTCATTTGCAAGGATGTAGAGTAAAAGTTTGGTTGAAGTAGCCAACCAAATCATGGAATGCCTCATTAAGAGCGCTACATCTTTTTCTCTTGGTTTTTGCTCTATTTCGTACAGCACAGACGAAAGCTGTAGTACGACAATACTACTTCGGTTTCTATAAAACCGAATTGCTTCCAACCAACTTTCCTTTCTCGAATTCCCTTTCCAACTTGTCCATGTACACATCAGCTAACAGAGATGAGAGTGGAGATCGCATCGGTAGTCCAAATATTTGGCCGTAGATACTACCGTTAAATGAAAAATGTGATCCTTACTGTCAGGTTGATCTGTCGTCTATCCAGCTAGAGAAACCTGAGCTTTAGAGGAGTGAAATATCTGAGCCAACAGGGAAGGTGGTTGATCCTACGGGGAGAGGATTGCGGGGTCAGTGTCCACGGTTGCGTATACTAAATCTTTCTACCAATATGACTATACAAGGCGATAATACCAAATGCCACACCAAATTGGTCTTGAAGCCTTCAATATGAAAGTAGATGATTAAAAAAAATCGTGCAAAATTTGTTTACCCGAGCAAACGAGTTGATTCTGCCAGATTGATGAGGAAAGTATGGCGACTGTATGCAAACTGGGTAGTAGACGCCGTCGAGTATCTGACTGCGCTCAAGAACGAGCGAGTCCGAGGATTCGTTGAGCCCGGTTGAGTCGAGATGGCATTGGGATGCGATGAGGCATGTGTTTTCTTTCTCTTCCAACAATTCGACGGCAGAGTCGAATCGCGACTTCTTGGCCTGCGACTCCGGTGAGACAGGTCTGTGGCACACATTTGCCGAGGTCGGAGTCACCGGGTCGAGGTGAGATTGGACTGTCTTGTGGGGTGTATCGAAATCGGACGAGTCGCGCAGCCTCTTTGTTTTAGCCTCACTGCCGGTCTTCCGACGAGGCCTCGCGATCTGCTTGCCCGACGTGTGGAATGTCGTCTTGTTGTGTCCGAGCAGCTGTTGCCGATCGGCCACCAGACGACGGAACGGAGATGTCAACGCCTCGACGAGAGGACAGCACAACAGGGCCACTTCAGAAGTACTTGAATGACTGCCGGAGAAGGAGCAGGATGGAGACGAACTTGAACCGGTAGTAGCAGCGGTAGGCGATGAGATTGACATGAGCGACGTCGCAACTTCGTCGAATTCGCATTCTCGAAGAGCATCTTCAGCGGGGATAGGAGTAAAGTCGATGTAGCGATCATCATCGAAGAATGGCTCGCTTGAATTGAAGCAATATGCCTGGGAGGGTATAGGCGTATTTAATGCTTGCGCCAAGTCGATTTTGATACCGCCAGTCTGAAAGGTTTATTTAGCGCCAATTTAAGAGGAATTGTGGCAATAAAATCAAAAGATTGATGGTGCAATAACTCACCTTCTTTGTTGTCGGACTCCGAAAACAGTGAGCAATATTGTTGCGAATCGCCAGTCTTCTCTAAAAGATAGATAATGCAATAGTAATAATTGCAACATCTATAACAATTTAATATAAATTAATAAGGCAATGCAATTTATACGAATTTTTTGAGATTTGAAGTATACTTTTTTTACCTTTAACATGCACCTGGCAGTATCGGACAATCAACAATCGACACTTGATTAGCCAAGATCAGTGAGATGTAAACAACTGTAGGTTATCATAAATAGCAGAGTACTTCTCCTGGGAATGCTCCACAAGATCAAGTCAGAAAAACCAGGCCAAACCGATAAACTATTTTATAGCACTAAACGTTAACTACGCCTTGATCATCATCATTACATACCTTATTTTGATAGTTGTTAAATGCACACGATACAAGCAATATTTAGCTCGTAACACTGACAATTGTCATGAGAAGGGAAAATAAAACCTTAAGAATAATCATGTAGCTCACCCTTAGCGATGAGCGAATTGTTTTTGACGCAGTCGTGTTCATTGTCGACAATTCCGCCGGCTTCCGACTGTTGCACCCACGGACAAAGTTGATGTTGGCGGATTGGGGTGAGCTGGTGTTTGCGTTTGCGTTTACGTTTGGCACAACCGACTGGACAGTCGTCTTTAGGCCAGACAGCGTGTGCGCTTGCATTAGCGGGAGGCCACCGTTGGACGCGTTGAAGCGCTGTATCAAGCGGCGTCGTCGCGGATCGGACTCCGGCAGCGCCTGAACAGTGGCGCAGAGCTCGGCCACGGCGTACTCGGTGTCGAGGCTGGTGTTCGAGTGGACAGTCGAGCTGGTCAAGTCGTTGGCGCCGGGACCGTCTGTAGGCGTCAAATGCAGGCCGCCGGCTCGACTCAATGAGTTCCGCTGGGCGAAGACAACTCCAGTCACCAGAGCTGGAAGATCATCATCGTCGTCGTCGTCGTCGTCGTCACCGCCGGCGTCTCGGTCATTATCGTACTCGTCAAAGTCGTCATCCGCGTAGTCAAGGCCTGACCTTTCCGCTTCGGATAGACAGTTCCTTGTCTCCGACTGGCGATTGGCGGCCGACTTGGCCACGTTCTGTTTGCCGGAGGATGAGAGAAGACTGAGAAAACCGAGACCATGGCTGGCGATGTCACCGTTGGAGGAGGAGCGCGAATCGCAACTGGACCGGGCGCCGTACTGGCTGCTGAGGCCGGAGTCGGAGGAGAGGGTACGCGTGAGCTGGGACGAGTCTTCGTCATCGTCGGCACCAGCAGCCGCTGTCGAGCCTCGCAGGGAGGGGCTGATGAAGGCGGCAGCGGGTCTGTGTCGAGACTCGAGAATGGCCAAATTTTTGTCCATGTCCTGAGCCAGGCTTGAGGGGACGGCGAAGAGGCCGGTTGAGCCCTGTTTGATCATCAGACTGGCCATCTTAGACAGACACGGGTATTGCAGATGCAGGTCACGGTAGTTCACCTGTTTGGGAGAAGCAGACGCTCAGTGAAAATGTTTTCAACGCAAATTATGCCAAATTACAACAAGCCGTCTTCACACTTTTCCCAGGCTCATCAAAGATGCGAACAGACAGATTGGTCTAGCCTAAAGTGGGAGCCGGAAAAAACGGTCGAGAACCGATTTTCAGACTGCGCCCGGTACCAACCGGCCCGGTCTGACTGTAGGCACTCGGGTTTTTATGTGGTCCGGGCGAGTGGGATTAGTGGAGCCGACAGTGAGGAACAGCTGGCTTTCAATTTGTCAAAGAGATCACGTGTCGTGAGACCGTGTAGACACGGTCGGACGCCTCAGACTCAACGGGTGATAATTCGTCGGTCTTCCAGTCTCCTAGACAAGTCGGCTCAACTTTCGGTCAGAGACACTCTCGCTTCCCCCCACCCCACCCAACACCATCACACCCCCGCCACTCAGGACCCACGACTAGGATGTAGCAGACAAACGCACGTATCGTAAAATACACTTGTACCGAGAGAGCGAGAGATAGACCAAGAGAGAAAGAGAGAGAGAGGCAAAAGTGAACGGCCAAGCCCGGCCAAGTCTGATAACGGCCGAGGGGATTTGGAGGATGGGCAAAAATGGAGACGAGCGCCTGACTCCCGCTGTGCG